AGGTAAGCAGCTCACAGGATGATCAAGAAACAAAGAAAGTCCTACTCATCAGATACAAAATACAAACCCCAAAGGCACACCCCAATTACCCACCTCCTCCAGCCACACCCTACCTGCCTACAGTTACCTTGTCAGGGGATTGGATTCAGGTTCCCATAACCCAATCATTTCACTTCTAAACCTTCTTGCATTGCRTCACACATGAACTTTTKGGGGACACTTCACATCTAAATCATAATACCAAACCAGAAAGTGAATTTTTCAATTATACTTGATTTGAGTCTGTTTTATATTGATTTACCACTTTCTTCTCAAGGACTATGGAAAGATATTCTTAGCTAATTAAAGATTCATATCTGCTGATTCTGGTCAATGTTTTCTGGTATCAAAAGATGACTTTAATAATTCTCAAATCTTACTTGTTATATGAGATTTTATTATAAGGAAATTTTCAAAAGCAATATATTTTAACAGTATATGGTAACTGAAACCCAAGCAATTAAACTATAAGAGGCCCACTGCTCTCTGTGTCCTCATACAAGTCAAGATCATCAATCAAAATCTCAGTTCCTCCTGCAAGAATTGTGATATATGCAGGTCTTCAACTAGAATCACAATAAAAAGCTTTGATCTTATTGGATAAAAATGTTTTAATAATATAACCTTGGTATTTTACACATCTTAATTGATACTAGATTTTAGGGCTGATATTACAGTGACCCTATGACTATGTTCATTTCACCCATACTCAGTCATGAGCTGCTTTTTTTGTCTAATGTCCACAAAACCTGTTTCAACAACACACTGATGGTGGCTTGAATTTGCAAGTACTCTCTTTCAGTAATCACAAAGCCATATCCAGAAATATTCATTAGCAACTGTATTTGCATCTATTAAATGTAGATTAAGAGGRTTTCATTTTAACAAGATTTTATTTACCAACTAATTGGAATGACAATTTATTACAAGTATGAAAATAATTAACTTAGAATTATTAGAGTTGAGTCGATCTTCTGGTTGTAAGGAAAAAAATGAAATCATTTTCTCCCATTCTATGGGCCTTGTTTGGAACTGCTACTTACGCCAGTCATTGCTATTAATTTCCCATTTTTACTTACTCTTTATTTTCACAGACATCTGAATTTCTGGTGCTGTTGATTTCATAAAGGCCCTTTTCAAAGATAAATTTGCTATGTATCAAAAGYGGTTGTTTAAATAAGCATTCAATTCTGACAGTTTTGCTGTTGATACTTTCACAGCAACAGCTGGAAGAGCACTTTACCATCAGTCATGGCTTTCTTTGTTATGCTTTCATTTTTTTTCCTCCAATCAAAGTAAGTATGTTCTTAAAACACATATTGCCCTGCACAACTTTTCCCCATGTTTAATAAATGTGACCCTCCACAAATGAACAACGAACAAAATCTTAATATCTTCATTCTTCCTTACAGATGAGGGGAAAGTTCTTACATCATTTTTTTCATGTTCTTAGTCAATGATATCCAATATTATTTTGTTACATATCAGTAAATTAAATAAGAAAATAAAGTTTATTCACTGGAATAATGATTTGGTCATTTGACCATGAAAAAGAACATACTTAATTTGAAAATATAATGTTCAGAAAGCACAAATACAACATTCCTATCTCAAACATGTCAAAGGTAACTTCATCAGTCCCATTCTTCCATTCACACACACACACACACACACACACACACACACACACACAGAGTTGTCTTAAGATAAAAGGGCTGCAAAACCGTGAGACAATCTCTGCTTCAGGCTAATGGAAAAAAAATATTTTTCATTTTTATTTCACATTCTGAAAAAAATTCCCTTGACAGAAAATGTTCTGAACTAGACTCTGAGAGGCAAATATATTTGCTTCACTTAAGGTTTTCAGAATGTCAAAAGAAAGAAGAGGGGTCAAAAAGGAAACAAAAGTTCATCTAAAATAGATAAACTTCAAATGTTAAAAGACTTTTTAGCATATCAAACAATTTTAAATCCCAAATATTAAACTATAAATAAATATTTGAACGACAGACACCTTACCCTGATACACCCAGGATTAAAATGGTCTCATGTTTACTCCTAATCATATGACTGAACTACTGTTTTAGGAACTACAAATAAATGATTTATTCATCATAGTGTGACAGAGTTATGTATGATTGATTGGTATGAAATAGAAAGGGACTTTGTCCTCAGCAAAAGCTTAGAACAGGGCCTGTCCAGTGCATGCTGTCTGTCCATCTGCAGCCAGCAAACTCAATGACTGCTTCCCCATCTGGTAAGTAACTCAATAGATTTTTCACAACGTAATTCCTACTCTACAATAAATAATCTATGTTTTCTAGATTCTATTCATCCTAATACAATGACCTCAATCTTATCTTAGATGTTTTGAATCTCACCATGGGTTTTTAAGTTCCAAGAAAAAAACAGGCAAGCAGGGAAGCAAAGTATTATTTTTCATTTTTTTTCTTTTACACAAGAAAACACTACTATTGACAAAACAATGATAGTATAGAAATTCTCCTGATTACACATACCTTAAACCTTTACCTTTGTTTTTTCATTCCATTTCAATAATTAGAACAAGGAAGGAAGAAGGGAATTTCTAGTCTGGTGGTCATGCTACACATCCTATAATTTTGTTGCTGCTTTTCCCCCTAGCCAAATAGCTCCATTAATCAGCGGGAAAAAATATGCAGCAAACGATCTATACATCTGAATATTATCCCCAACAGAGAGCTGAAAATTGTAAAGTTGCTTCTGAAAGAACTTTTCTTACATTAAAGAACTCTAATGRCATGCCAGGAACCTCAGAGCAGTATCAGTATTACTTCAGGTTAGTTTGTACTCTGGTTATAACTAAGAATATGGCAAATTTAATGAATTTACTTAATGAATGAATTTAAAAATTCATTTTAAAATTGCCTTTCTCCACAGCCAAAGTCCTATTTCCAAAGTGATTAAATTCAGTCTCAGACATATTTTTATCCATATAATTTCAGTTAATTTTCTTACTAAAATATGATAAATTATTGTATAATGGTGTATTAGGAATTGTAATGCAAAATAAATAAATAAATTGTTTTCCTACTAAAGAGTTTTACAACTTATAAATTCTTTAAAAAAACAAAACTAGAAATGGACCTAATCACTACTGATATTTTATATTGGTAGCTTTGTACACTGTGATTACCACTGATTGTTATATTTCCTTTGCGTCAAGAGAATTTGTTTCTTTAAACAAATTGATTCTAATAGTCCTAATTACTTTGATTGGTATCACATGGGTAGTGCTTTGTACTACTCTACCATGCAGTACAGAATTAATCATTTATTTGATTATATATGAAAATTAATTTAAATCTTAACATACTAAAGCATTTTGTGAAATATTAAAAATACTAAACCTTTAGTTTTTTCTCAAATTCAGTTCATATGAATCCTGATTCTATTACTGAATATTTAATCTATATAATCTTTAAGGCATATATGTGAAATCACAGTAGTACCAGTAATAGTTTATTCTGCATATATATCATTGTGTGAATTGTGAAAATCAGTGGCAGATCTCTAGGCCACATTAATATTTTATATACAAAACCAAAACTGAATAAAAATACTGCCAAGTGAAGAGGCTTTAGTTGTACACTCTTTCTGCATATTAGTATGATATACATGTAATACTAGATAGTCACAAGACTTAGAATGTGGGTAGATCAATGAAATAAAATAAGACTGAAGTCAGACCTAATCCCAATAACCATTTTCCACTCTATATTTACACATAAGATAAGTTGCAATTCCCTGGCAGAATTAGTTTTTTTCTTAATCAAAAATAATTTATTTTTAATTTAAATATTAAAATATAAAAATAGAAATCACTTCTGAAAATGCAAATTATTTCAACAGATGGCAACTTCTGCATATCCCAAAGGAGAGGATTTTAAGTGCGAATTTTTTAGAAGGGTATAAAATAACATACAAAAGCTGTATTAAAATAAGACTTGCTTTGACTCTAGACCAAAGTCCTCTACTTTAATATCAGTAGATCTAAGTCATTTACGAACATTTTTTATTTGATGTTATACTGATTTAATTATAATGACAAAAGAAAACATGGATCTAACATTAGCTCTTGGTACTTGAAAGTACATTTTAAATAATTTTGTTCCCTTCCCCCACCTACCCAATCTAGAATCTTGTTGAACAGTTTCAACACACTTTTATAGAATAGTGAAATATATCTTTATACATGGTCAGGAGTAGTAAAAATGGAAAAATAARTGATGTTGGAAATCTGATGGCAATACTAAGTTCAATTCAACCATAAGTATAGTTTTCAGTTGCACTGTTACAAGTCACCAGTGAAAATGAATCCTGATGGCCATAAGGAGGTTATGTACCTCCCCAAGTGGATAACTTATTTTCTTTCTAACCAACACTGGCATTAGGAAGAAAACTGGCAGGCACAAATTGCTGGAAAATGGTTGCAGGGGCCCTAGACATTAACTCTGTAGACACACAGAGAAAATGGAAAAAAAAAAAAACCTGGCTTTTACAGATGAAAAGCCTCAGAGGACCTCTGTCAATGGACATCTTATGACTGGAGAAGGATTAAAATGAAAGTAAGCACCTCTTGGTGGAAATGGCACCAACAAAATTGAGTCAATAATCTGAGCATTTCTTCCTACATGGTTTGACTGAACCTGAGGTAAGCAACAATAAAGAATGAAAAGTACAGATCAGAAAGGACAGATAAACTTAAGCCCAAAGGTCTATACAAAGCCTGTGAATACAATATCTACTTCTTTATCTTCCTTTTAAAACAAAAGTATACCACATAAGAACCCTTAAAGTTTGAGAGAATGACAAGACAAAAACATAATTATTTTGATGTGCCAACAAACCCATCCTCTTAGATATCAACAACTGAATATCAATAAGACTGAAGTCAGACAGAATCCCAATGTTTTGGTCCTTTTTGCACAAGAATCGTCTGAAATGGGTACCACTAATGCATCCATCACAACAATTTGATTCTAAGATGCTTTGATCAAGTCTCAGATGGGTCATCCCCTCTTGAAAAGTTATTTTTTTTCCTGAAGTTCTTTCTGTGCCAATGTCTGAAAAGCAAAGAATCAATAAATACTCCTAATGAAATCTAAATTCTTTGTGTGTGTGTGTGTGTGTGTGTGTGTGTGTGTGTATGCATGCATGCGTGTGTGCCTGTGTGTGTTGGTATGGATTGAATGCAGTACCTTGCACATGCTAGGCAAGCACTCTCCCACTAAACTATATCCCCAGCCCTTTGAATTTTTTCAATTTTTTGTTTGTTGTTTTGAGACAGGGTCCCTCACTAAGTTAACCAGGCTGGCCTCAAATTTGTGATCCTCTTGGCTCAGCCTCCCATGTAGCTGGGATTACATGTATACACTACCACACCTAGCCTCAACTTAAATTCTTTTTTTTAAATATACTTGTCAAATCTTATGTAGATCTTTTTTTACACATTGCMTTTATTTTATTTGTTTTTATGTGGTGCCAATATAGAACCTAGTGCCTCATGCATGCTAAGCAAACMCTCCACTCCTGAACCACTATCCCAGCCCTCAATTTAAATTCTTAATAAAAGATTCTGAATCAAATGTATGATATATGATATGTCAAGATCAATGTAATGTTTTGAGCAACTAATAAGTTTCTGAAGTTTAAAAAAAAGATTCACATAAAATTTACTTGAATTTAATATAACAATAACTTTGCGCCTTTCTGGATCATGTGTTTGAAAGTTTTTATAGAAATCTTAAATCAAAACATATTTGGAACATTTTTGAACAAGAAAATGTTTATAAAAATAAACATGAGGGCTGGGGCTGGGGCTCAGCGGCAGTGAACTTGCCTGGCATGTGTGAGGCACTRGGTTCGATTCTWAGCACTGCATATAAATAAATAAAATAAAGGTCTATCAACAACTTAAAAAAACCCAAAATTTAAAAAATTAAATATCATGAAACAAAATATAATATATAAAATCATGAAACAAAACATAATATATAAAATTAAAAATATATTTTAACATGTTTTTTGCATCTTTGTATTAAATAGAATATGGCAAATATTGWGTTGATTTTATAAACAACCTAAGTAGTGGTTAAAGTAATTTAAAGTGTTCCCACACAATCTGAAAATGTTTCCAATAATTGAATCCAAAGTTTYTGATATCATAAAAATTTGTAATAAGAAAGTTTCAGGATCAAATATAATGAAAGTATAATTTATACSTATCAAAAACAAAAAGCTTTTATGCGTTATGAAAGTTAAACTGTGTCAGTGCATTAATCCTATAATAAGAGAACAGTTTTAGTCAAGGAACAACAGTGAGGTCAGATTTGAATTTTTTAAAAACTTAGTTTGAAATTGTACATATTTTCTTTGACTATAAATTACTTTAGGTAGCATCTAACTCCCCAGGAGAACTCAAAATATGTTACAGATTAAAATTCTGACTTTAGTTTTATTCATTGTTGTTTTTTGGTTTTTGTAGAAGATCAAAACACTAATTCAAGGATACATAACTCAATAAAACCATTCCTACCWGAAGGTAAAATAAAGCAAAACAGAAGCTGAATAATTAGTGACTTACAAACTCCAGAAATTCGATTTCTGTTTGGAGGGCTTCATAAACACTCTCTAGGTCCTCTTCCTTATAAAGTTCTAATTCTTTTTTAAGTCTGTTTTAAAAGAAAAATTTCCTCTATAGTTGAACAATAAACTATTGCATAATATTTTTTACTACATAGACAGTGGGAGGTTTGTAGTTTCAAAAATCAGAATTTCAAATTAAAACTAAAGAATTTAGAAATTTTGATTCTCTATAATTCTTTAAGAACTATATAAAATTTTGAGAAAAATATCTCCCATGAAGTAAATAAATTATACAATAAATAATAAGCACTATTATTAACTGCTAAATTAATAATTAATTATTAGTAATTTTATGGTAATTAAAATAACATGTTTCAGTGGAAAAAATATAGTAGTATTCCAGAAAACCTCTGTTTTAGTCCTGGCCACTAACAAATTGACAAAGCTTGGTTAAATCATTTAGCATTTTTGAACCTCACCTTAAATTTTATACACACGCACACACACACACACACACACACATATTAGTTAAACATGGACACAATATCTTTATTTTGTTTATTTATTTTTTACGTGGTGCTGAGTATCAAACCCAGTGCCTCTCATGTGCGAGGAAAACACTCTGACATTGAGCCTTAACCCCAGCCTTCACCTGAACTTTAAAAACAAACAAGTCAATATAAACAATAACAAAAAAAACTCTAACATTTTTTGTTGTTCTAAAATTAACAATATTTTAAAATACACATATAATCAAAATGTTTTGAGAGTAAGAATACTACATTAATGCTTTCCCCAATTAAATCTTTAATCTTTAAAATAATTTGAATTTTTAAAAAAATTAYTTTATGCTTGTGTTTAATATGGAAAATAGTGAAGAAACCATTTTTCATTATGACTAAAATTTCTTCCAAAAAGAAAAACATAATCAAAAGCCAAGAGCTGTGACTGCAGAGGTAGAGACCTAAAACTGGGAGTGTGAAGCTGCCCTGAGGGCATATACTGAAAATGACAGAGCTGGGTGAAAAGTACAATCAACTTGAAGCTTTGTTGAGAACTGAGCCTCAAGGTGAAGGCAAAAGGGTTGTAGGCCAGCAKGATCTCCCAGAATTCCAGCAACAGCAAAAGAAAATCCTCTCTGAAGGAACACTTAACTTAATTTGACCTATAGGCTTTCCCCAGATTACAAATAATTGAGGTTGCAATCAAACATCTCCAAGCACACAACTAGAAAGTTCAGTATAAGTAAAAGTCAACAGAAACAAGAAGAGATGATAGGTTATATTCATAATATATAAACAACATGAATGTAGAAGAAAAAGATGGAATTGGGCAGAAATTGGAAAATGGACACAAAACAAACCAAAAAACAACTTTTAATCGTTTTTCAAAAAATATCCCATGGCTAATAAAAATATTCAATGGTTTTCAACTTTATTAGTGATCAGAGAAATATAAGGATAGCACAATGAAATACTACATATCCACCAGCTTAGCTAAAACAATGGTTAGTATCAAATCCTGCTAGGGACGTGGAGAAACTAGAACTTTCAGAATACTAGCATAGGATATTGCATTCCATTCTTTTAATATATGTGTCTTTACATTTAAAGTGGATATTTTCCAAGAAACCAAATAGTGTGTCTTATTCTTTTATCTCAAATGACAATCTGTCTTTTAATTGGCATATTTAAACCATTTATACTTAATGTAGTTGCCTGTATTGATTTAAAATACAGTATTTTTCTAGTTGTTTTCCATTTATTCTATCATTCTTTGTTTTTCCCCTATCTTTGTCTAGTTTGAKATTATTTTTATGATTGCATTTTATCTCCTCTATTCCTATCTATTTTTAAATTTCAACAATGATTGCATCTGAGTGTATAATATGCATCTTCATTTTAATACTGTGTACTCGAAAATATAATACTGCTGCTGAACTTACAGGATAAAAACAATATATCAGTATGTTTCTAATTTCTCCCTCACATGTTTTTGTCCTTTTATCATTTTAAAAGTCTCTTTTTACATATATTACAGACCTAAAATATATTGCTACTATTTTTGCTCCAGTCATTTATCTTTTTGATCAATTAAAACGAAAAAGTGTGTTTTATATTTATCTTCATCCATTTCTGAAACTCTTTAATTTCTTTGTATAGCTCCAAATTTCCATTTGGTATCAAATTCCTTCTTCATAAAAATCTTGCTAATCTTTGTAGTGTAATCTGTTGGCAAGRAATTCAATAAATTCATGTTTGTCTAAAAAATGTCTTAATTTGCTTTCATTTCTGAACAATATTTTTACTGAGAATTCTGAATTGTGACAGCTCTTACTTTAAGATGTCATTTTTTGTCTTCTGATTTGTATAACTTCTAATGACTCGTCCACTCTGATTCTTAGCATTATTCCTTTGTATGTAAGGTGTCTTTGTGTTTTTCTTCATGATATTCTCTTTATAATTGTTTTTCAGGGGTTTGAATATGGTGCATATATAAGTTTCCCCCTTTTTTTTTTAATGCTGCTTGGTCCTCTCTGAGCTCCATGCATCAATGCCTTGAAGTATTTTATTATTTTTGTAAAACTCTCTGCCCTTATCTCTGGMATATGGAACAGTATGGATGAATTTCAAATGCATTATACCAAATTTAAGAGCCAGACCTTAGAAATTACATAGCATTTCACTCCACTTATATGACATATTAGAAAAGAGAAAAACCAGGAAAAGAAAATAGATCAAGGACTAGGCATTGACTACACTGATTATCAATGGGCAAGAGGAAAAATTTTGGGGTAATAAAAGTATCTTTATTGTGGTGGTGGTTACATGACTGAATGTGTTTTTCAACTCATAAATCTGTATACTAAAAAGGGTGAATTTTACATTATATAAATTATACTTCAATAAACCTATCTTTTAAAAAAAGAAAGGCACTGGTAGGAGTTTAGGTTCTCATAAGATGGCAACTATCACCTAAATTAATAAATACATAAATAAAAGCTCTCACTAAAAAAAAATTGAAATCACCCATAAACCATCCATAGGAGCTAACGAGGAAATAGAAGATATTACAAATTTGAAGTTAGATTTAATTAGGGAAATAAACATCTACATCCAGCTGTGAAGCCTATACCAGTGGGAGGGAATTAAGCAGTAGTTAAATGGAAGGGAGGAGAAACAAAAAGGGTCTCAGGGGTGAATAAACAGTCTGAAGTGAAAGGTCCACCCCACATGGAAGAACACTAAGAACAGGTCTGAGGCCTCACAGGTTAGAGAGTAGGGACTTCTGCAGAACTGAAGAAGGTTATTTTAATCAATACTTCTTTTATCATTTGGATGGAAAAGGACATTGTGTTTTTTTTTTTAATTTAATGACTTTCTTTTGTCTCTCTAGGGCCCTTAATTTCCATTTTTTGCTTCCTATATGTCTTTTAAGGTTACAGCCCTTTCAAGTTGTCTATTTCTCACAAAGGTACCATAGCTGAATGGGAAAGATTTTGCTTTACTTTTCTGTAGAGAAGATTCTTAAAGAACTATATTATGAACAAAAAGAAAAAATACATTTAGATGCCAGATAATCCCCAAATGACATAAACTTGTCTATACTATAAAAATAAGGAAAAAAGTTAACTTCCTTCCCTGAAACAAGCATAACATGATACCTAAACCTGATAAATATAATGCACACACACACACACACACACACACCCCAATAAATATTGATGCAAAAATTATAAATGAAATACCAGCTAAAAAGCATCCAATACCACATTAAGGAAATAATAAGCTATGATCAATGAGGATTTATTTCAGAATTGAATGTGCAGTTCAATATTACAAATTCATTAACATAACTGACCATACTAATTTCTAGGGAGAAAAATATTAAATTTATTCCYAGAAGTGCTGAAACCACCTCTCAATTATTAAAAATTCATCCCTGATAAAAATTCTCAATGGGCTGTGAGAAGATGGCCGCGAATAGAGTGCATCACACCCTGTGTACCGCATCACTGCGCAGGTGAATAACGAGTTAGAGCGACAAAAAGCTATCTTGTTAGGAATTTACAGCAAAATAGGGGTGCACTGAAACCTARAAGAAGGATTTCCAGCAACGAGGACCAGTTATTGAATCTCTAACAAGAGCCAACTGTGTGACCGGAGTTCCAGGCTGACTGATCTGCTGCCCGTAGCGCAGCCCGCCCAGCGGCTACAGACGGCGGGGTGCCACCGAGAAGCAACCAGCAAGCAGAGAGAAACATTGCTATGGATTCTGTGGAATCCTGCCGGCTGTGCCCTCACTGAGCTTCGGGCTGAGTTCGGGATTTGAGACGGGGAAGGAAGTGGTCCAGTTCTATCTCCCACAACGGAAAGTCCACCAAGGAAGCCAGCAGCCACCATCTTGGAGAGCTGACATCATCACCACCACTCTCCGACAGATTGCAACAATAAAACAGGTGCGTGTTACTCGGCCCATCTCCCATACAGCGGGGAATTCGCATAAAATCTCTCCCAGGCTTTGCGGGGGAGGGATTATCAGAACGAGCCTGCATAGAGACACGGGGAAAGGAAGAGACACCTGACCTGCAACTCCCCCTCCCATCAGTGGCGAAAACGAAACCTGTCTAGCCAGCGCTGGGGGAGGGGCAAGCGGAAAAAATCAAAACAATAGGGTGCCGGGGTTCCCAATAGCCACCCTCCACACCCAGCAAACTTCAGGCCCAGAGGACAGTTTGAATTGCCGAGAGGCATCACACAGGGGAAGGCCGGGCTAGCAGGAGAAACCAGGGCTAGCAGGAGAAGCCAGGGGACGGGAGGCCAGGCCCTTGCGACT